CTTGATGTTGCGGAGATGGAAGGATACTACTCTGCATGTGTTTGTAATATGTCTAATCATGAATAGTGTGGAGTCAAACGTTACACCGATATGTCGCACCTCAGAAGATGGAATGATGTAGGTGTCTCCCACGCGGATGTTTTCAATGATGGGTACATTTAGACGGCGTTTAGGCTTTATATACAGCACTTCTGTCTTGTCTGTATTGCAGCAAAGCATATTGATAGACAGCCATCTATGAACATCATCAATACAACCTTCTAAGTTGCGAACTGTCTCTGCGGCAGCCTCCGGACTAAAAGATGCTGATTCATCTCATTAATTAAACAATTTTTATTCATTTCGAGCACTGTTATTATTATATTATTATTATTTATTATTACTATTATTACTACTATTTTATTTTTAAATTTTTGTTGTTTTATTTTTTGTTTTATGTATGGGCCTAGATGTAGGCTATGTACCGGTATATATTTAATAATTAGAAATAATTATAATTTAATTATAAAACATATATAATATAATGCTAACAATATTATAGGCTATAATAATTTTAAAACATATATAATATAATGTTAACAATATTATAGGCTAGGCTAGACCTAACCAATTATTGATACCATAATCTATAGATAAAAATATCCATTTGATAATTAAACAGCAGCTTTTCGAGTGGCAGTGCCGATAGAAAACTGCAGTATTTTGGCACTGCGGCAGTGCCGATAGAAAATCTGAGCTTTTTTCGCACTGCGGCAATAATGCCGATAGAAAATAACAGCTTTTTTCGCACTGTGGCAGTGCCGATAGAAAACAGCAGCTTTTTTGGCACTGCAGCAGTGCCGATAGAAAACAGCAGCTTTTTTGGCACTGCGGCAGTGCCGATAGAAAACAGCAGCTTTTTTTCGCACTGTGGCAGTGCCGATAGCCTCAGCCGTAAATTGATTTAGAGTTATCTCATAAAGAAAAAATTCCATCCTTCACGCATATTAAAATCGGTTTCCGCACAAATGTTGCAGTAAAGTCAGCCAGTGGCTATTGTAACCAATGTATAGGCATTCGCGGTGTTAATGCGATTCTGTGGACCTATTTTCTCGAAATTTCCTGCACAAATGAAGAAAAATACTGAAAAATTTAAAGAAAGTGTACAGAAAATATAATTGATGTTTCAGTAATAATAATTAATAATTTTATAATTAATACATCAATCCAATTATGTAACTGCAGATTTTGGCAGTCCATTGACTAGACAGTTTAGCTAGCACATTATTACTGCTCATGGTTTTCTTTTTTATATTGTGTATATCTGTTAGTAAATAACAGAAATTTATAATTTTCTTAGAAATATTCCTAAAAATTGAAACTTTCCATGAAACTTTTACTTTCCCTTTCCTTCCAGTTAGGTTGACATTATTACCTTGCACCTTTTTCCTTTACTAACCCTTTAATATCTATTTTCTTTTTAATATTCTTTCATCCTTTTTCTTATTTCATTTTTGATACTTAACTTTCTTTTTGTTTTTTCATTGTCATTTTCTTTCCACCATTTTACTTCTTTCTTTTTCTTTCCCTCCTTTTGTTATTTCTTATTTATTATTTTTCTTGTTTTGTTTTTTTTTTAATTTTTAAATATCTTTTCTCTTTTTCTTTCATGTCTTCTTTCTTGCATAATTATCCATGGGGACAGTGTAGGTGTGAGTGGGTGGGGGTTTGTTAGGAAATATAAAGAATAAAATATTGCACAGCACTTATTATCTTAGGGGATGCGAAAAGGATGGGGAAATATGTGCTACTAAAAAAATTACTTGTGCTACCAAATTTTTTTGTGGGGGGGGTGCCAGAAAATTTTGGCAGTGCTACCAAGAAAAAAAAGTTAATTTCAAGCGCTGATGTATAATTCATCTTTTGAATTTTCCTTTTACCATGGTATGGTAAAATACCATGATGTGTCATACCAAAAATCCAAAATTTCAGCTTCAGTTTGCAATTGGTTTTTAAGTTATGTACCACGCCCCCTTTATTATTCTAGTAATGGCTCCTTTAACACAAGCGACCCCCCCCCCCAACAACCCAACAATGCTTCTTCTTCATCCATAATTGTTGCGGGGTCGCTTGTGCTGTGTGCCAGGGCCTACTGTTCCATTTTGTTTTTGAGGGGTGTTCTCATATTTGAGAAAGAATAGGCAATTAGTCAGTTTATCCAGGTAAGTATCCACTCATAGACTACGAACATCACTACTGATTTGTGTAATTGCATACATAGGGGTTTCTTTTTTTAACCAATGGAATTTTTAACTTGATTCAATATTTAAGTGTCCAAAAATATGATCTAAATGCCTAAGTAAGTGGTTTCATTATGTTATAGTCCTTATTTTGTTTATATTTTATTTATTTTTGTGTCATCAATTTGTGAATATCAAGAATTATATTGCAATGTATGAAAGCAGGCCATGCATTGTTAATTTTATGATCATATATACATTTTTTTCAAATTTGCAAATCATACCACTTATGTATGTTTTTGTAATTTACATTCTACATACTTTTACTGTTTTAAGTATGGAGACACAGCATTACATGTAGCTGCTTACTGGGGATATTCATCAGTGGTAAAACTACTGTTAGACACAGGAGCATCAATTCTCCATTCAAAGGTAGGGCATCCAAACTTCGAAACATATTTCAGATAAAAGAAAGTCTGAAAACATTTTAGTATTAAGGACATTGTTGTGTCATAATTGTATTTTTTTTAAATAGCTTTAGAATCTAGGAATATAATACATTGTACAGTTGGTTGGTTTGATTTGATCTGATTTGGTTGCTTCTTAATAGGCCGGTTTGGTTAATGTTGACTTGATGCATATTCAATAAAAGAAGAAATACATCTACAGTGTAACTAACAAAAGTATTAACAATGTTAACATACCTATTGTATTGTACCATATTAATTTACTATTTATTATCTCTAACCACAAAAAGTCGTTTTTGTTATAAATGAAGATAGAAGATTGCAAACCCACACCATCATTATGTCAATTCTTAGTTACTAATATACACTCTGTTATGTTCTATAATCAACACTCTCAGAAAGGCAACACGCCTCTGCATGCCTGCTTCCTGAATCAAGATTTAAGTTATGATCATCACAGAAACGTTACTGTAGCATTTATGATGACTCATTCAAACATAGTATCCATCAAAAACAGTGTAAGTATGCCATCAAGGTGTATGTTTTACTTCAAACTTAAGCCTTTCCGTGAAAGCATATTTTCCAGATATCTGTCTAAGGATATATTTGTTACATCTTTTTCTGTACCCTTAACTAGTAATTTATTTATTACCAATAATCATTTTTTTTCTTTATGTGGAATGATAAAACAATGTCTTTTAACACGAAACTCTAAGTGTAATATCAGGTTTTTGTCATTGCTTTTTTATGAATGTGATTGGAGAGTCTGTTTTTATTTCTGATGAGAACAATTTGTTATCTTGTCGTTGAAATTATATCATGAGTCATGTTCAAATATTGTATATAGTAGTCAATCTGCACGCTGCAATGTTTAAGATATATCGGTATTGTTTGCATTATGAAACAAATTATGTTTATTATACTATGTACAGAAGTAACATAAATATTGGCTGAATATTTTTAGTAATTTTGCCATCTGTGGTATTCCTGCTATAAATTTTGTGTTATGGTATAATTGTTTTCTTTCTTTTTCTGGAAGTTATATAATTAAAATATATTAGAATAGAAATATTGGTATGCTATTCTATTTTGGTGTCAAAATTGTTGAAAACTACTTCCACATTTACCTATGTATTCAAATAAGATTTGTTTGTAGTTTCTCTGACGGGAATTACAACTGCAACCTCTCAGTGACTGACTTACTTTTATACAAATGACTGAAATGCTCACACATAGTGGGGCTATGGTTAAGCAAGAAAGGTTCATAGTTTGCAGTTTGGAAATCAAAGTAAATGATATTAAAATTTTTATATAAATTTATGTGTTTTAAAGGATGGCAAAACTGTAATTGACTTGTATGAAGAAAGTGAGTGTAGGAGGTATGAAACAGAACATAGATGTTTACAGAAAGAAGAGTTATTACTGATATTGAAAGGTAAAAAATGTAGTTCCTTTACTTTAACTGCTATTCTGGTAATAAAAAGAACTGAATTTAAGTTAGCAGGAAAATGGAGTTTGAACAGTTGGCGTAACAGGGGGACAAGGAGGAAATATCCATCTTTGGAAAACCTTTCCCCACCCCTTGATAAATGCCCTTTTCATCCTCTGAAAGTGCCTAAAATCCTTAGATTTTGCGCGCTTCGCGCGCATTTCTTGTTACAGAGGACAATTTCTTCTATAAATTGCACATTTTAGGGAGTTTTGGTCAATTCCAATGAAATTAGAATTAAAGGGGGGGGGGGGTGCGGGGATGAGACAAGTGGCCATATATTGCTTATTTAACCTTTCCTGAGTTCGGGAAAAATACTTAAAAAATTCAAAATGTTGAGATGTAACGATAATTAGAAAAACAAAACATGATGTGATGAGACGGGAAAATCAGGTGAAAACGAGGCTGATCACTTTTTTCAGTAGCTTGGTAGCATTTTCTAACCAACTCATTAATATTCAAGACCAGTCATTTTTGGCGAGCAGCTGATCGAAAAAATCGTCCCGACGATCGAGCAACTATAGCCTAGACAATACGTACGTCCAGTAGTGTGAAGTTGTGAGTTTTTGTGATCGTTTACGTACGCAGTTACAGAGACGGTTTTGTCAACGTCAATCATGGAGGAATAATTCAATTGAATTAATAAACGTATATCAGTCCGATGACTTGTTTGTTTATAATTAGGCCTAGCCTATGCCTAGGAAGCACAGTCAGTGTCTACCCAGCAGCAGTAGCGCACTCCTAGACCAGAACACTGCTCCAGTCCCGTAGCAGGTGAGTTCGCACGCAGCCTTATCCAGCTGACGGTAAAGTTAGTAGGTTACTACTACTAGCCTAGACTTGTCATGCCATGGCGACTTTGTCACATTAATTGTGCTAGTGCATATTTTTTCATAATAGCCTAGGCCCCTAGGCCTACTAATAATACTATAGGCCTATAGCTAGGCCTGGTCCTATGAAAAACTGTCTAGGCCTAGGCCTAAATGTCTAAAAACTGCACTGTCTAAATAAAGGTGATGTGCTATAACACTACAGTATATCATCAGAGCCAACACCAATTCCTGTAACAATAAGATTATTATTGATATACTGTAGGCCTAGAAGCTAGGCTACACAACAATAACGCCAATAACGTGATGCATATGTTACTCCAAACCTAACTTTCAGCTGTTGTTGAAATGTGGAATTCAAATAAAATATACAGTATCTCAGTATGGTATGTTATTGATAAAGCAGCAAATGCCAATGTTTGATAACATTTTTGATTTTTTAACAAACCTGGTTTTGCATTATTGTAACTACTGTATAAGATGTGTATAAGAGACAGCTCGAAAGTCGTCCTGCATGCAATGCATGCTTTAAGGAATTACAATCAAT